CCCTTGGTCCGCATATGATTGGAGTTCATCTTGCAAAGCTTGGCTTGCATTTTGGTTGTAATGGTCTTGATATAGAAATAGCACTATTGGTTTTGTTTTGAAGCATTACTTAATATGCTAGATTCCTTTTATTTAGTCGTTTCTGGATATCATTGTAAGTATATAATTTTGTTGGAAAAAGTTATTGAGAGTAGTTTGAAACTACCACTCATTTACATTCTCTTTCACTACTACTATAAAAGATATATAAGGTATTATTATTTTTGTAAATAAGATGCACTGCAATATTTTTTTATAACTTTGGTTTTCTTGCATGCCAGTTTCCCTAAACTTCAAGGGTTGTTTTTATTTTGGAATTTATTCAAGTAAAGCCTCTTGGAGTATCTGCACAAAACATTTCTTTGTTATACTGCGTAACTAAACAACAACCATAAAAAATAAAGTAAAAAGTAAATGAAAAGAGTATTAGATAAAATATGTGACTAAATAGAATTATTAAGGCCTATGGTCCATAAAAACTAAGAACATAATTAATCAGCAAGTGTCATAATTTGTGCAATGATTAAAGGACTATGAGTAAAAATGTGTCTCAAATAGTGCCATCACTTAATATAATAGCAATGTCACGAAAGTTAATTGTGTGCAATTGTAACTTGAGTGTCACAATCTTCACAGATTAACAGATCATTTTCTTGTAAGAGAAAATTATGTTCAGAAAGCTGTTGTGAGGACAACTTTCTTCCTCTAAGTCCAATCCAATCTAGATGGCAAACAGAGATTGTCAGTTTAATATGGAAAAATTTATTCATACATGCTCACCCCAAGACACCTACAACTGACTCAAAAGCTTTGCCTTCATGATAGGTTGATAAGTTATATAAGGAATTGGCAAAGCATTAAAATGAACAGTTCAATCATAGGAGGAAGCAGTTCAGTGTTGGCATTTGGTCATATAGTTAAAACGTGATACACTCAAAAAACAGCAACTAAGGATCAAGACAGTGTTGACCCAATCTCACAAAGGTTTGGCAGGACTTCTCTGCTAGACAAAATTATAGATAAGAGAAAGTGAGCAAATAATATTAAGAATTTAAGATGTTTGATAAGAATGAGTTAATGTTACAGGTTAAACTTCAGGAGAATATTACTATTTACAAATAAAGGATTTAAAATTTAATTAATAAACTGAGGGCTTGAGCTTGAGAGAAGGAGCTAACTATTATAATATCATATTCTCAGGATGCATGTGCCACTTAAGTGATTGTTTGTCAACTTCCTTGGTTTTAGCTGTGAGATGCTACCTTACCTGACAATGAAGGACACTTGATATGCAATTATAGTCACATCTCTTATGGACAGAACAGTTATTATCACCAGAGAATGAAAAAGAAACAAAGACAGCTAGAACATCATCCACTTAATGACTTTCTTGACCACATGTTATGTCAAAACTGCACATATTCGGAAATAAGTGATACATTGAGAATAAGTATAATATCAATACAAGAAGGTAGAAATTCAAGGTATATTTATGTACCACAGTTTCCTCCCATCCCCAATTCAGACTTGTTCTTAAGCCAACAATTAATTTTAATTATAAAACCATTAACTTTTTCTTGCCCCGATAAATACTTAAATGCAATATAGATGACACCCTTTCATACTATTACAACTGGTAGCCAGTTCTCCAGCATTAGGAGCATGTTTGTATATCAAATTTCATAATTTAATTGAATATAGTAATTATAATTCTATTTCAACAATATTTTACTTGAAAATACCTAAGAATTGATGTTTTGTAACTTTGTAAAATTTATCTAATTTGCAAAAACTATTTTCAAAAGTGTTTGCACTTTAATCTCAGTGCAGTTCGAACATGTATCACTTGTAACCAAGGCTCTTACAGATTTAAAAAAAAAACATTTCTGCCCATCCCAAAGAAAATATATATATTTACCCAGATCCTGTTACACCTTATGAATATACTTATTCAAAGTTATTTTTCACAACTTTTAGTTTACTCCGACAACTATTTTCTAGAAAGATTTGTTGAGAGGTTTTTGCAATAGTACAGCAAATGGATTGGACAATAATTAATAAATCTTAGCTTTGATATATACGGAAACATCTGTTAGCCGAGTTCTTGCACAGATCTTAAAAGATAATGTTTATAAATGGAAACATTGGCTCATGTAGATATGTTGATCTTGAAAGCTTTAATGATATCATGTATAACAGATTGACAGAGTCATCATGGGTTCTCCTCTTGGACCTGCCCAAGCCAATATGTTTGTTGGTTCCATGAAAAAGAATTATTTAACAAAGTTACCGGACCTGCTGTTTACTTCCGCTATGTAGACGAGACATTTGCCATTTTTAAAACTGAGCAGGAACGTGAGCGTTTCTTACAAGACATAAACTCGTTGCACTCGGCTCTCAAATTTACTTTCGAAAAGGAACAACTTAACTCTTTACCGTTCCTAGACATTTTAGTTGAAAAAGATGACTTTCGTTTTCTCACCAGTATATACATAAAACCTACTTTTACAGAACAATATATGCAATGGGATTCTTTCAGTCCCAAAAGTTGCAAAACAAACCTTATTGCTGTTTTAGTCCATCAGGCTCTAGTTAATTGTTCAAAATCTAAACTAGATTTCGAATTGAAGACAATTAGAACTATTTACTAGAAAATGGGTATCCAAAAAACGTCATCAATCAAATTACTTCAAGGAAAATTGCGAGCTTCTCAACTGATCCAAAATTTTGTCTTAACAAGTGTCCTGTTTACCTAAACTACCATGGATTGGCAAAATTTCAACAAAGTTTGAAAACAATTGAAAACGGCCATTACTAAGTATTTTCCTGTAGTGAACCCCTACTGTGCATATTCCTCACATAAGTTGTTCCCTGCAACACACAAAGATGTGATACCTATCAAACAGAAAAGTATGGTTATTTATGAATTCTCATGCTACTGTGAATGTCAGTAAGTAGGTCACACTTCACAAAGACTGCAGGATAGAATTAAACAACATGTACCCACATCCATAAGAACTAAGAGTGTGAAAGTAAAAAATTTACCATGTTGCTCCTGTAAAACAAAAGTTCTACCACCTAAATGTGAATCAGCGATTGTCCAGCATTTACAAGTGAACCCGAATTGTGCTGACAACTACACGAATAGCATGTTTGAAATTATTGCAAATGGTCAGTCGATCTTTCATCTCTCTATTTTGGAAACCACCTTTATTAAAACACATAAACCCGTCCTTTGCCACTAAAAAGAATTCCTATACAATCTACACATCCATCAGTAAGTCTGTGACATTTCCTGATTGGCTAAAGGACACACCAATCAGTGATTGCCTTACCGGCCTACATTGATCTGACTCATTTTATAACCTGTACTAATTCCTATAGATCATTTTCCAGACGGTTCTGCAATGCTTAGTGTCTGGCAAAAAACTTCTGCAGATATGTCTTTTGCAACATCTCAACCAACAATTGGTCCAGTTATCAATGCTATTTTCAAGTTTTGAACAACTCGACTTTCAAGATCTATGTATCTACATGTGCCGATGTTTCCATTTATGAACGTTATATTTTAAGATCTATGCAAGAACTCAGCTAACAGGTGTTTCCATATATCAAAGCTATCTTCAAGTTTTGTACAACGAAAAACTTTTCAAATCTTAGCTTCGAAACAAGACAGAACCAATGGCTAAACATGATTGGATATAAAACATTCTTTTCTATCAACATTATTGTAAAGTAAATATTTTTGGAAAAGCTGTAATATACGATTTCTGAAAAAGTGAGTAGAGGAAGCTCTCATAATGGCGAACAAAGGACCTAATGTAAAGTTTAATGATGAACAATAAAACAATGGCAACAACAACAACAAACATTTGAGACATATGTGTACAGTAACAAACAATCAATTAATTCTAGAGTGTTTCAGAATGTACATATTCCATCTCCAGCAAGCTATATTGAACAAGGTAAAATATTAGGTTCAAAAAATTTCTAAAGAATGTAAAATCAGAAAACAGGGTAAAGGAAGAGTTGGAGATAATGGTTGTGACCCTGTGCCTACTGAGTCATCCAGAAGAGGTTGTTTATTTAGGGTTTTTTTTCTTGGGTGATTGAACATACATAGGAAATAATAAGAAATTTGGTGGCCAATGATCTTATCCCCCACATAGTCTTACAAGGGGATGTACTACACTGTGAAAGGCTTAACATGCTGAAGACAGTGCAGCAGTACCAGGGTTTCATAAGCACTGTACCCTAAAACCATCACCAGACATAAATGGGAGAGATCAGAGGGCAGACATTTCACATGACAGAAGAGTGAAAATTAAGAATTTTGTTATATATTTCCTTTAGAAATTAAAGTTAGATAACATTAAAAGTTGAATTTTATCAACTACATGTTAATGTTAAGTTTATTGACATACACTGATAATAAAGTTGTTTAATAAATTTCAAATGTAACTCAATAAAAAAAATCCTTAACATGCACTACAAGGTCTGTTGAATTAATAGAGCCTGTATGCATAGTGTTAACATAAAACAAACAATAAAAAGAAAGTACCAAAGTTATTTTACAGTTTAAAGTTTTTGATATATTTAAGTCTATAATCTTACAATGAAATAAAGGTGAGCAGAAATTAGTAAGTTTGTTTTGTAGTTAACACTAAAATGAGTTACACAGAGAAATGATTTTACAAAGAAGCACTTTATGCAAATTCATAAAAAAAAACAGTAGCAACACATCAGCATAATAATGCACAAATTATTACAGAGTTAATAAAATTTAAAAACCCAACTAATTTCAACAGGTCAAGCTTGTCATTTTCAAGGGATGAAGTAAAACTATTATACTCTGTTTCTTTAGTGATTTGTGCATTATTAGGCTTATGCATTATCATTGTTTAAATGAAATTACAGTTATGTTCAGTGACAAAATAGAAGTAACAATAATGTTTATTTACCATGTAGAAGATAGGTATATTCAGTTTGCTTCTGAATAGGAATTTCTTCGTAGTGGTGTTGAATGTTACATGTATCACAGGATGAGGTACTGTTTCTTGGTCCCTTGGGCAGAAGAAGAAACAAGTAAGCTGATATTTGTATATAATTTTAATCAAAACCCTTTACATCTATTTATACTTAATTTTATTGTTTTATTGAGCTCTGAACCATGACTAACTAATAATCCCACCACACAAGTTGTAAACCACTTGGCAAAAGAAAAGTACAACTCAAGTTACCATATTGAATGACAAAACACACAACTTTATTTAACCTAACAAGTTTCTAATTTTTATATTTTAGTTACTTTTTAATAATAAATAAATAATACACATGAAAAACAGGAAATATAGTACTTACCTGGGTCTTCTTTTTTATTGTTGACTGTTGATGAAACTTAAGACTATTTTTTATACTAACAGTACTACTACGATAAATAGTTGTTTTATTTAATTAGATAATGCACTTAAGAATATAAAATAACATACAATAAAACAAACAATGTCCTGTAACTGTCATAATTTTTCTGGCTTTCTAACTATGTGATAAAAACTTTAAAAATTCAGCAAAGCTTGTTGACGTGATTTGTGTTAGAAAAATTTCAAACTGAATGAAGAAATAGACAATGACCTCTACAGAAAAACGACATAATATAATATGTCATTTGATAGAGTAAAACTTTGACTTTCTATTGAGTATAAATAATACAGTATAAAACATACGAGAGAAATATTAGCAATTTGTGCAAAAGGATGTGGCAGGTTGGTGTAGCAAATGGGTCCGATTTCCTAGTTTATGGCTCTATAAACAAATAGGATTGAAGGGTATAAAAATTATGCTTTGGCTGAGTAATATCTATATCATAATGAGTAATTTATGTTAAATTCAGTACTTCTCAGAGGGGTGGTAAATAAATTAGAGAAGAAGGAAGATCTAGCAGAGCAAATGTCACAATTCTCATATTAAAGGAGATTGAGGATTTTACTTTAAACATTTCCTTATAAAATTAAGAACTTACAACTGATATACTATTAAAATTTGGTTTATTAATTATGTCTGATGTCAAGTTTATTTGTATTCCATGATAATATACTAGTTTAATTAGAAAGTCATGACAGTGTACTTTGACCTGCCTGTGGCAAGAGGGTAAACAGATATAAACAGTCAAAGAAACGAATGCTAGCCATGGGTGGTGAATATGAAAAGCAAAGGCCCATACAATAACAACAAATACAAGGGGGACCAACTCACAGGGAAAGAGAAAAACAAGGAATGGGAAGATGAAAAAAAAGAGATGGACAAGAAAGAGAAAACAGTGAAGATGGCCCAGTAAACATATTGGAAAGTGCTTGACATACTGACCACAATCGACTGCAGATCAGGTGAAAATGACCATAGATGGGGTTAGAGCTTATGATGACCACTTAATCTAAATTACAGTGATACCTAGAGAACAAAGGTCAAAATTCTTTTATTAAAATATTTCTTATACAATTAAGAACTTATAACTTATAATAATATTAAAAATTAATTTATTGACATGAGTGTCATGAGCAAGAGGTACTCTTTTTGAGGTGTTTTAGTGACTGTAAAAAAAAGCATTACATAAAGAATAGAGGAGTACTGTATTCGATAGAATAGAAAATGAAAAGTCAGAATCAGTTTTTTATTTAAAATTCGATAAACTTGTGAGAAAATATGGCCATCAACATCTTTCATACATTACAGTACTTAAATCCAGTTAAGCAATATGAATGAGATGAAATGCTATCAATATGAATTCTAATGCAATATAGCTTACAAATGTAAACTTCTGTTGTATTCATTGCCTTCTTTTGTTTTGATTTCACTTGTGATATAAGTTGTTTTACCTTTTTATCACTTGGGTAATTCACATTGTTGCTATCTTGAGTATGTACTTCCTTGAATCTTGCTAATCCCATCATCTGGATAATCTGGAAGTTGGCCTCATGTACAAGATGCTTGATTATAGCTGCAAACAGATTCTGAATGTCTCTTGGGGCAATAGTAAGAGTGCCATGGTTTTAGAACTTTGCTGTCAAAGTAGTGATATGCTGCAGCACTTCTGTTTCAGATGGAAGGTCAAGTCTATCTGGAGACTCAGCACAATGTCTCTCAAACATTCACCCAGGCCCTACTTTGTTTCTTTTATTTTCAACACCTTCCAAAAATATAGCCTCAATTTTTGTCTTGAAAGATTCAATATATTTTTTTCTATACATTTCTCCATGTCTTAGGCATTGCATCAAACCAGCATTAAACTGTTCAGGCACAAAATCATCCATATTATCCTCATTTAGTGCAGCAAACACAATTGATTGTAGAGCTCCCAAATTCCTGATTACTTGAAGGATCATGCTTGGTATCAATAAAATCAATACAACCAGTATTAACCAACTCTACTGCATACTTAAGGCCAATTGTTTTTTGTTTTTACTGAAAGAAAGTGCTGTTTACAAACTTGACAGACAGTTTCATCCTCTACATCATTATTTTAAAAAGTTTTGAGATATCATCTATTCTATCTTATTCATTACCTGCTTTCTGCTTGTCATTATTTACACACTAGCAGTATTCAAATCTTGTGAAATTTGGTGTATGAAAAGAGCTACAGGAAGTCAATGATCAACAAAAGCGAACTCTATCTTCATGATTTGAAGTAAATTCATCATCATATACCTCATCAACCACTGTCTCTTCATTTTAATCTTGTACAATGACATCTCCTTTTTCTTCTGCATTTTCTTCATTGTCTGAAGAATATTTACCTCTTTCCACATTTTCAACAGCTCCAAAAAGACCAGGAATATTTCCATTAATACTACTATGTTCCACAACCATAAACTAATGTTTCAAGTCTCTTATATCAATCCTGACATAGTCACAACCTAAATATGCAAAAACATGAAGCTCATTGTCAACAACTTTTGCTTCATTAAAATGTTTAAGACAGCTAAAAAGAGAAAATGCATCTTTATATGATCTTGCCAGGGCATCAACAACATCACGCTGTATCATACAAAGGAAAACTTTAGTGCTTTTCAAACCACCATCATTCTGTAACGCATGAAATAGTTCCTTTGGGGAGATTTCGTTGTACGCCATATTCACAAAAGCTTTAACTGCATTAATTGCTAATGCAAAATGCCCATTGATGCATCCTGGGTCTCAGTTTGCACAAAATATTTCAATTGAACATTATGCTTTGCACAAATTAACCCTATTGCCCTCGGTATCCTTTACTGTGCATGACACAAGGTTTTAGTATCTTACATTCAAAATTTTATTATACTACTTTTTGTTTATGTTATACCAATTAGAATAGCATAATATCTTAGCTAATAATCCATATCTTAATAGTATACAAGTTTTAAGTTCTTAATTCTACAAGGAAATATTTAAAAAATCTTGAATTTTCCCCAGTGTGAGAAATGTGACATATTTTCTATAAACATCCCCTTTTCTCTATTTTATTCACCACCCCTGCTATAAGTATGAAATTAAACGTAAATTACTCTCTATAAAATCTTTATTGCTAAGACAAATCATAGTTCTTATAGTCTTCAATTTTGTTTGGTTACAGAGCTATCAAATAGAAAATCAGACCCCTCCTGCCACACCCACCTGTCACATTCTCTCTGATAGTTTCATTATATATTACCTATAACTAATAGAATGTCAAGGTTTTCATCTATCAAATTACGTATTGTATAACATTGTGTTCTGTAAAGAATATTGTTAATTTCACTCACAGTACAAGATTCGTTCCAACGGGAAAGTTAATGACTAGCTTGGATGAATTTGTAATGGCTCTTGTTACAGTTAGAAAACCAGGAAAATTTTGAGAGTTAAGGGAATTTGTCTACTTTTTGCATGTTATTAGTCTATATTCTCTGGTGCATCATTGAATTAAATAAAAATTATTAAATGCATTACTATAAAAAATTAGGCTTAACTCTCTTTGAAACACAACAGCAAGAAAAAATAAGATTAATTAAGTACTTTATTTCTTGTTTTTCATATTTATTCTGTATTTATTATTGTAAAGAAACTAAAAATATGGATCTTTTTAAGTAACTTAAGACTAGATTAGGTAAAATAAATAATAATAATAATATCATTAAAATGGTTCACAAGGCACTCACACGAGCAGCTCGTGGGTAATGTAATTCGATAGTGTAACGTGAGCTGCACGTTCCCTGAGTTATTTACAACTTATAACTGCGTGGATAATAGTTAGACATGGTTCATAAGGCAATAAAACAATAAAATTTAATTATAATGTATAATGTTGAGAACTTAGAGCTACTTAGAATAAACGAATGTAGTTTCATGTTACAATTTGAAGTCATTCTAGAAAGAAAAAAGTTAGTTTATTTCGATTTTTTTTTTGGTGGTTACGAAGTCGGTCGATTTGACCAATCCAATTCTGAGATAGGATAGAGAAAATAATAAATAAACAATACAGTTTTACTGAAAAAAAAACGTTGGAAATACATTTAGGAGGTTTTAGGGAATACACAAAGGAAATTTGAGATTTTTGTGATGAGGAAAAGGATTTTTAATTTCAACATGAAAATTACTTTGCACACAGACTATTGAAAATAAATATTCAATATATTCATAGACAAATCTATATTTTATCTTATTAAAAATACTTCACTTTTTGTATGTGAAAGACTTGTAATATTAACTGAATGACTGCCAAATTTCGTGAAGATATACCCACTACATTGAGAGTTATAAGTATTAAATCTATAAAGACTTTAAACAAGTACAAAAAGGTCACGTGGTCGGTCAAATTGACTGAGCCCATATTGAAAGTGTTAAAAGCATACTTGATAATAGCATTCCATTCTGGTAACATTTTGCATTGTCTGATTGAACATACATTTTTGTAATAAGAGGCAAGTCATGTTTCATCTGCACCATAATACCTGCATAAATCAAAAGAACTGCAAACCAGTTCTGCTTTGAATCCCTGGATGATATGTGATCATAATAGTTGATCGAATATCTAGAAACATCATCTCCATATTCATTATCATCCCCATCATTTGTACATCTTTGTTCACTTTTAGTGTATACCATGACATTCCTTTCTTTCCATAGTGTTCAAGTGTCTTCTCTCGAAACTATAGTGGTTCACATTTCACCTTGTAGTCCATTACTACCAAGGCCTCATCTGCTTGAAGGGTTTCATGTATTTGAGCAAAATGATCCCGCTGGTTTTTACTCTCCCTCGATGGCTCATGTACAACTTGAACTTCAATCTGCAGTTGTCTACAAGAGAATGGTGATACAAACTCAATTTATTTTTCAAAAAATGGAAAATTTGGAATGGGATTTGACAACGATCACAAAATCCATGAGAATTCACACTGGAATTGCTACTCAAACTGTAATCAGTATCATAACTTATGCAATTGTCTATGCCAATATGCAGGTCAAACTCATATTTGAGAAAGTGCTCAATCACTTCCAGAGATTTTATTGCAATTTCTTTTACCTTTTGATTGTGAATGGTATCAACTATTCATCAGAAAAGCTCCACATTATTATAGAGAAGAATCCCAGAAGTATAATCCATGCCCTTTCTAGCCTTAAGACAACTGATTAATTTTGCAAATGACTCATATGAAATTTTATCAGCCACAGCACAGTCTTTAGATAAGCCCTATATATATATATATATATATATATACAC